ATTGGAAAAATGAATTTGTTTATATTGCCGTTATATAATTGATAATACTTAGTTGATGAGCAACACTGCGCTGCAATTTTAAATTTATTGTAAACATTATTATTATTATTAATAAGCCTGAAAATGAATTTATTTTATTCGCTTTGTTGGCCAGAAGCGAATATTTCCACATTTACTTTTTTTTTTGTAGAAGATACTTAAATAAAAATAAACACATGTAAATTATTCTCGTTAAGATGAATGTATATATTTACATTCCTTTGGTATGGAAGAAGCGCTGGTGGCTCTTTAGATGGTAAGTGCGCAATCATTGGACACAGAAAAACGTTGTAGGTTTCTGGGGAACTTTCTCGATTACGAAAACATCAAAATCTGTAATTATTTCTACTCAAGATGGATCGACGTCACAAGTTTGGGCCTCTCTTCAAAGTCCTTTTAATATTGTAATCTCTTAAGGGTTATGATCGAAATAGTGTCTTTGGAAAATCACATTGCAAGATTTCCTTTCGAAAAGAAATTTACATAATATTTTCTTACTAGGAAAAAAGTTCGCAGTAACTTTGTCCGAGGTTGACAAGCTAAACCCGGCCTTTCGGACGTGATTTTTTATTGGAAGTTGGAATATTCAATTAGCTCAATCTCGAGGGAGAGCTTAAACCACTACCCTTTGAAGTATGTAATTATATACCTTTTGATGATGGTCTACCTGCAGTTGCTTGACTGGCTTTTGGATGCGATCATTGTTTTTTTTTCAAATTTTTGTTTCGACATGTGATTGAGATTGGAAATTGTGCCTAACAAAACGCCGAGTGGAAGGACTATATCAGGTAGTTTAGTCTCTACAAGGAGGGAAAAGATCCAATTGGTTTGCATGCTAGAACCAGACCGAAGACTGTACATCCACATCATACGCGACATGATCAGTTCTACGCATATTTTCACACCACCGCGATAGACTTTTCCATCCTGTATTAACCAGGTAGAAATGTGTGCTGCATATCCCCATTGTGGCGATTGTATTCTTGCACAACATTGTTTCTCATAGGAGAATGACGTGAAACAGGGCGAATGACGTAATTGGGTAGGCGGATTTTCCGTTTCAGACCATTGGCGGCTATTATTGTTAGGCGCGTTCGGGTTTAGTATTGCTTTGTAGCTTCCTAGAAAAATCTAGAATTGCTAGTGATGTCTCTCCTTTATGTTTTAAGAGTGCTCTCTTAAATATCTCTAAGAAATGTTCTACTTGTCCATTTACTTGTAGATGGAATGACTTAACATATTTGAGTTGACTGTGACGATGGTGTAAGCAGCGACTTCTGTTTATCCGGTCAGCATCGCATTCATTGTCTGTTGGAATATAGCTGACCCTGACTTAACGCCAAACGGAAGGCGGTTGAATTGAAGCAGCCTCGATATGTGGTGAGTGTAATTCCTTAAAATCATCTAGCTAAAATTAGAAGTAAACGTCGTAACGTAGACTTGCGAAGCATGTTCTTCCGGTGAACTTTGTGAAAATGTCTTCCGGTAGTGGTGATGAGTAATTATGAATATCTAATGCCTTGTTCAGCCCAGTGGAATAATCAAAACATGCGTATTTTGCCACTTTATGACGTCCATGATGATTAATTTCAGCTTGAATTACTACTGCTTACTGAAACAGGTTTATTTCTTTCTCTAGTGACCAGAGTTGCGCATGAAACTGGGCGCTTGAGCCTGAAAACAGGTGTGGAATCTGACTATCCTTGAGAGTAGCTTTATTACTGGTACGACATCCAATGCTTTCCAGAGAAAACATTGGACTTGGACTTGTGTTTGTGAATTGTTTTTTTTTTATTTTCTGAAGCAGAGGTAAAACTTTTATGCGGGAGACTGAATTTTGCAATTCAATCTCGTACAATTCAGAACAATCAGCGAGATTAAATCTTCCTGAAAAATTTATTGCTGACATCACAAGTTAACTTGCCCATTAGCTGAATGTTGTTGCCCAATGAACTCTGAGCTACATATTTAGAGCTTGCCCTGAGAGATTTACTGATTAATATCCAAGTGGAACGCGAGATCAACGCTATATCCGAGGCGATGTCAAGATCAAAGTGGTCTGTAGATTTGCTAATGGAAACTTACATATTTTCTGCAATACTGTCAATTTTGAAATTTGCAAAAACAGGAGGTGTGCGAATGTTTGTGGTACGACTTCTTACGGAAAAAGGTTTCAGACGCTCTTGAATGAGGAGCTTCTTTTCTTTGTGCGGCAAAATAATTCCTTGTATCCATGCCGGTTACATATCTGGCATGGTTTAAATGAATAAAAACGGGGATAATGCCAGTCATAGTGTTGCAGCCATCCTTTTAAAATTCATTTACGTTCTTTCACCTGTCTGGATATTGCTGGTACTTAAGGTCCTCACTCTCAGATGAACTATCAATATTGCTGGTACTCAAGGTCCTCGCTCTCAGCTGAACTATCAATATTGCTGGTAATCAAGGTCCTCGCTCTCAGCTGAACTAACAATTTTGCTGGTACTCAAGGCCCTCTCACTCAGCTGAACTATGAATATTGCTGGTACTCAAGGTCCTCGCTCTCAGCGGAACTATGAATATTGCTGGTATTCAAGGTCCTCGCTCTCAGCCGAACTATCAATATTGCTGGTATTCAAGGTCCTCGCTCTCAGCTGAACTATCAATATTGCTGGTATTCAAGGTCCTCGCTCTCAGCTGAACTATCAATATTGCTGGTATTCAAGGTCCTCGCTCCCAGCTGAACTAACAATTTTGCTGGTACTCAAGGTCCTCGCTCTCAGCTGAACTATGAATATTGCTGGTATTCAAGTTCCTCGCTCTCAGCTGAACTATCAATATTGCTGGTATTCAAGGTCCTCGCTCTCAGCTGAACTAACAATTTTGCTGGTACTCAAGGTCCTCGCTCTCAGCTGAACTATGAATATTTCTGGTATTCAAGGTCCTCTCTCTCAGCTGAACTATGAATATTGCTGGTATTCAAGGTCCTCGCTCTCAGCTGAACTAACAATTTTGCTGGTATTCAAGGTCCTCGCTCTCAGCTGAACTATCAATATTGCTGGAACTCACTGTCCTCTCCCTCAGCTGAACTATCAGTGTCAGGTTTCAAATGGAGAAACCGTTGGCACTGAGTAGCTCACTATGACGTCTATTTCTTGCTTAAGCTTCGACAATAGAGTGAATATATCTTTCCTAAACAGATTGAAGTTCGGCGATAAAAATAAATATAAGACATTCTTTTTTTCAAATTAATCTTTTCACTATTCTTTGATTATGGTTTTTAAAATACTTTGTTTTTGAAAAGTATGTTTTATCTTTTTTTTCTTTTTAATTCAACTTTTTAAAATTTTCCTTTATCTGAATAAATGAATATTAATCTTTTTTCATACAACTGTTTTCAACATTTTTGTTTAATTCAAAATTTTTATAAAGTTATATTGAAATATGAATTAATATTGTCGAAGTTTCTGATATGCAGCGTCGACCATTTGATGTAATAATTTTTCAATTTTTTCAAAAGTATATTACTCGGAAATTTGTATAAAAGGAAAGTTACAATAACTGTACTGAATTTGTTATTTTTTTTCTTAGTAATGTTTTATTGCACTTTCGCGCACCCGTAATTTGAAATGGAGTTGTGTCGTGACTTTTCATTTGTTGCTAGGTTGCAGTTGCTTAAACGAATTGAGAAACATTGGTCTACTCCATATTTTTGTCTTCTTTTATGTGTCGTGTCCCTTCAGAACGTAGACAATCATGGCTCTCCATTTTTTTGCGTTCCTTGTAACTCACAATAGATTCTTTTCTGTCATACACTTGCTTTCTCATCCCAGTATCTTTTAGTGTCCCCGACCTGTAAATCGCATTTCGGGGTTCATCTTTTTGCTGATGACCATGTATTCTATCTTCTTGTAGTTTATGCTTTTCTTCTTGCTCTCCTTCGCAACCTTCTGTAGGAGGTTTTGTAATTTCATTTCCGTGTCATCTGCGTATCCTATGTTATTAAGATTATGACCGCCAATGATGAATCCTGGTAGGATTTTTAGTTCTCCCAGAATTGTCTCCCTGTATAGGTCGAATAAGTCCGGTGAGAAAACACATCCTTGCCTTACGCCCCTTTCTATTTTTGTATATCTGATAAACTGATATTTTTATTTTTATGCAGGCAGTTTTGCTGCCAGTAGAGAGTTTTGATTATTCTGATGTCTATCCTGAATATGTCAATTTTGCTGAGCAACTCTAACAGATCTTTGTGTTGTATTTTGTCGAACGCCCTTTTGTAGTCTACAAAGCACAGGTGCACATTCTTCTGCATTTGCATTACTCTTTCTGATAAATTATAAGTATGAGTATCGCGTTCCTTGTTCCGGTGTCTTTAATGAACCCGCACTGTTCTTGTCCAACCTCTTATCTGATTCTGCTGTGCGTTTTAGCCATCAGAATACGGACGTTGAGTTTTGTAGCTCATTAGGCTGATTGTTTGCTGAAGTCCATATTCGTTTGTTTCTCGTTTCTTAGGCAGTGCCATGAAAATAGATCCGCATAGATCTTCCGGTATATCACCACTGCCGTATTAGTTTACGTATTTAGATGAAAAATAAAGTATGATGATTACAAGACGTATAATAGTGTAGTTTATAATTGTTTACTTTTTTTTTAGTTTGTTGGTTTGTTGTGTGGCGGTGGGGTGTTGGTTTCTGTTATTTTTAGTGGCATATCAATCATTTACATGTTATTTAATGCCGAAATGTAAATATTTTCTACACAATTTTATTTCATTTTTGAAAATGATAATGGTTTAGTGACACAAGTCTTACTAATTAACCTATAGCTAGGGGAGAAGAAGTGGATTCATACCTTTCCGAAGGGTTATTTCGGGTAAGTGAATATAACGAACACAAATGGAATTGGAACTCGGCTCTCTGATTAACAATTCCGAGCTATTATACATTACAACACCTTCACACTCAAACTTACAAGAACAAGTGATCACCCATCTCGGTACTTACCAGGCTCGACGTTCCTTAACTTCGGTGATCCTACGGGATCCGGTGTTTCAATGTGATGTGTTTTTAAGCCTGTTGTAAAGTGTCATATGGATTCCCAAATGTTAAATCCTCCGACTTATATAAACAGTGATTAAATTTTAATTGTTTTATTACTTTTTCGCGCATCATAATATCGGTGGTATTCCGTGCTTGTTCTCATGGGGTGGGGGTTTCGACAAAAAAAATTGCCAACTAATTAATTTAGTAAAAATAAACAGTGCTACAATTTTCGTGCCACGAGAGACGACCATATGGCTGTCGTCAGAAATGAAATACGTCCCTGGAAGCTCTATATAGAAAACTGCATTAAAGTATCAACATGGAAAAATCCATCATAATGTCAAACTAATATTAAGACTATTTACACTATTTGTATCATTCGCACTGTTGCCCTCATCATTATTCACTACGTTTCGGCCGTTGTAACCTCTGGCCATATTCAGGTGATATACGCTGGAATTTCGGACCAGACCCTTTATTTAGTTCAAAGTAGATTGCTCTAATTCCACGTGTCATGCCTTTTTTGATATTTCTGTTTCAGTTTTATATATATATATATATATATATATATATATATATATAAAACACACACACACACATATATATATATATATATATATATATATATATATATATATATATATATATATTGTTTGTGTATTTATGTTTGTATATATTACCATAAGAACAGTCAACAATAATGACAGTTAAAGAGAGAAATACGGAGGTGATTTTTGCTTTCTGTAGATCTTTTTATTTGATCAATGATATAATTTGCAGGTTATAAGAAAATATTTTTAAAACATACTAATAGACACCACTTTTTTATTTGATGCTTTTAAAAGATAATATCAAAATATGGAGAGTGGATATTGCCATAATATAGACCTTAAATTACTATTATAGTTATAAAAGCTAAGTTAGTTGTTTTTATGTTTAACGGCCTATCAACCCCTATGGATAATTAAATGACGGAATCTCAATATTTTATACACAATTTTATTTTTCATTTTGGAGATAATAATGATTTTAGTAATACAAGTCTTGCTGTTTAATCCATTGCTGGGTATTCAAGGGTAATTGAGCGTAAGTGAATTTAATGAATCAAGCTGTAATTTAGATTCGCCTCTTCGATTATTGATTCTATAGCATTAATCTTACATCCAAGCTTACAACACCTGTTATTCCCAGGTACTGACCAGGGTCGACTTTGCCTAACTTCGGTGATCGTACGGGAACCAATGTTTCAACGTGATGTGGTCGTATATAAAACTTATGCGTTGGTGTTTAGAGTGTAGTACGAGAATAAAGATATTGCTGATTTACATAATAAAAAAAAAACGATACAAAGGTGGCTTCAAAGTCTTTGCTTTTCAAAAGTGAAATATATTACTTATTTAAATGGTTTGTTTTAAATGATAAATTTTTGGACGAATTAATAATTCAGCAGTTTCTAAATTGGAAGGTTCTATTCAGGTTGAAAAACTTCGAACGAAAGGAAAGAAATTACGAATATAATAATTGCGTTTGTAAAAAGTTTCAGAGTAAAACTAATTTAAAAAATCGTTTTAGTTTGTTTTGATTTTAACATTTTTTTCCGATTTTATTGTTCGTATGTTTTTTGCTTCATGGCTCTTTTTTTTCGTGGTTTCGTATTTGATTTTATTTGAAATATTTGTTTCATTTTCGATTTTTTTCTTAATTTCTTTTTTCTGTTCATTTTACTTCTTTTTAGTCATATTCCTATTTTTTTCAGAAAATATTTTCTGTTATTTTCTGTCCTTTCCAAGGATCTCAAGTTTCTTTGCTAACAATCCGATAATGTGATTTACTATTGACATTTGCTTCGAGGCGACCGCCAGGTTAGGTTCATGGCAAACAAGACACCAACACCTTCAGAGATTTGAATGAGGATTTTTTTTTCTGAAAAATTAGGCACAGCGATTTTTACATTCGAATATAAACTTTTCCCCGGTGAATGAATTTTATTACGTACGATTATATCTGACGAGAAAATCATATTAAGCTTTTAATACAAAATTAGTCGTGAGATTTAGATAATTATTTATACTAAAAATGAAACTTATTCGCAGCTCACATTAAACTTGATACACGCTTACTTGCAATAATAATTCATAGCTAATCGCGCTATACAGGCTGCGATGTGTAAATAGTTGCCATTTTATATTTTTAATTTCGCGCATGCGCGTTGTTTGCTTTTGATATTGTCGACTGCTTAGTAGTGGACACCGTCTGTGGGAAAAAGAGCACCATGACGCAATTCACTCTGAAATTTGGAAACGGCTAGCTGTACTGCTTGGCATTCGCGTGGGAGCTCCAATACGAACATTTTAAGATGTTCCAGTGTGCAGAGGATTCATAAAGATTTGGATGCGCCTAATGGTGAATACGAAGGTGTTTGTAGTGATCACTAGTAATGGTGACGTTATTCCTCAGACTCAACACGGAGGCCACCATCAAGTGCCTTGAGGAGGTAGTGCTGTCCTGGGTCAAGAGGATGGCTGCTGGAAGAGCCTACGTCTGACAACAGGACTCTGCATTATGCCACACAAGCAGGACTATTTCTGCGACCACATCTGGCCACCTAACTCTCCAGCCTGCAATCCCCTTCATTATAATGTGTGGGGCGCAGTTGAGCGAGAGATCAACAAAACTCCTTGTAACACCAAGGACGAAATGAAGGCAAGGATTATGGTAGCATTCACCAACTTAAAAAAAAGAGACCGTCCGTTTCAGGAGATTCCAAAGCTGTCTGAAGACTTTGGTTGAAGCAACTGGTGATTTTATTGAATAAATTTAACCTCTAGCATTTCAATATATTTTTATGTAAACACACATACACATATATATATGATTTTAAGATGGCTTTCGAAAGGTATTGAGTAAAACGCAATTGCTTAATGTAACGAACAAATATTCTTTTCCACGTACTTTGTTTTTACATGTGTCATGTACAAATTATATAAGGTAAGTCTGAGAGGTGAACCCATCGCTATGTCCTCAGTGAGAAAGTTGCCATAATAATCATAAAAAGGTACTTGTACGTACAGGATAGGAGGTTATATTGTCCGAATTTTCTAGCGTAGGAACGAGGGTTATTATATATTTTCTTTATTACTATATCTATAAGTTAATTGACTGAAACCTTTAATGTCTAATGACAGTAGGATGCCGCTATTAGGTTTTTCCTCTATTATGTACCGTGCCCCTTCAGGGCGTAGGCGATCACAGCTCTCCACTTCTTCCTGTAACTTGTAGCTATCAATAAGTTTTGTCTTTTTGTTATTTTTCTCAGACCCTGTTCTGCCATCCATTTACTTAAGCCCGTTAAGTAGGTCACACATTTTTTCCCTTGTCCTTCCTTCCCTATATCCGTCCTGTGAGTATCAGATTTTCCAGGCCCTTCATTCTCATTACGTTTCCCACAAATTTCAGATGCCTCTTTCTGATGTTAATTATAAGTTTCCTCTTTGTTTGCATCCTCTACAAAACTTTATCGTTGCTCACACGTTTGGTCCATAGTAACCTCGGCATTTTGTAGAACCATACCTCTGGTGTCTCAAGTCTCTTCATCTTTAAGGAAACAGTCCAATATTCGCTGCCGAAAAGAAGGACAGATATCACGTAGCAGTTCAGTACTCTTTTCTTTGTTACCAAGAAAAGTTTCCTTTCCGCGTCTGCTATCAGCACTGTGTCATCTGCGTATCTTATATTGCTAATATTGCGGCCGCCAATGATGAAACCTGATAGGATTTCCTGTTCCTTAAAAGGTGTAATATAGCAAAAAAAATTACGGCGGTGAGAAAGTGACTGAAGCCGAGATGCCAGGTCAGAATCAATAACATTGCTGATTCTTCTTTATAATTTATCAAGTATTTCACTCTCCCTTTCTCTTTCTCTCTCTCTCTCTCTCTCTCTCTCTCTATATATATATATATATATATATAATCAACTTTAGCCATAACGTAAGAAATTTAAAAGAAATATATATCATATTTTGTTAAGTCGTATATAACTACAGAAAAAGTAACAGACAAAATTATGCATCTACTAATAGTGTATTATATCGATAGATTATATTGAAATACATAATGTCCTGTTTTAAGTGTCAACTCCGTCACATAATCGAAATTGACCATATTTAGATTAAAATGTTGATTAATATTAAGAATCCAGTTCTAATCTCAGATTAAACTAGGTTCTTAATCAACATTGTCAGCATTTAAATATTGTGTAGAATGGTGAGGCAGGAACTGCAGAGATTATCCGTTTCGAAAGAGTAGATTTAGAAAAAAGGTTCCGAATCAGAATTATGTTTCCGACATAAATAGACATTTAAAACTTATAAATCTAATTCTATATTCATATATTTTTTACGTTTTTTTTTACTTTTTGTAATTAGATATGTAGCAATATGAATGATCCCGGAATTCAAATATTTGATACATTTTATAAGCTATTTATCTTGTGGATTTTTAATAAGTTTATTTACATATACTCACATACGTGTGTGCTGCGTGTCGCTCATTTTCTTCAGAGACCAAATTTCAAACATAAACCGAATTATACTGCGTTATTTAATGACTGCGTATGTATTAGAGTATAAAACTTTGCTTATATTAACAGACTTGTATAAATGTATATATTAATACATATACACCCATGTTCTTTCACTCTCACAATTGCACACACACACACACATATATATATTGGTGTCATTGCAATTAAAGATAATATATTACTTTTATGATAATATTTACGTCGAGGCGATTTTTATATGTAATGTTGAAAGCACATTTCCCACCATTTTAAATAAAGTATTGGGCCGGAACAAATGTTGGCAGTTTTTTTCTAGTGTATTTCAAAGACAATGCTTATATTCTTGTAATGGTTTCCAACTACATATGTGTCATATTGTTTCAACTCTGTTTTGCCATCTTTGCGGTATCTTCATGATTTCATTCTCCCAGCATTTTTCTGGGTTTTTAAATA